TCAGCCTTCATTTGGGTTTCAGTAATTCCTCTTGGTTACATTACCCTTGGTCATGCCCTACCAGGCCTCCTACACCCTCCTCACCACCGATTTGGATCACTTGTTGTACCCTTGACCCTGGGTTTGTTAACACCACTACCTTTCCCCCACCTCCCCCTCTCCCATCTGCCCCCGGAACTGTTGGTCCCGTTGTTTTCTCATCCAACCTATATTACTTAGACAGACCTGCAGAGATAACATACACAAAAACAAGACAGAGCAAAACCAAGCAACTAAATAAAACAAAACAACAAGCCAATGACAAAAAAAAACCCACAACAACAATAAAGAAAATCTTGTAGTTAGTTCAAGGACTGTTTGTTGGCCTTTAGGAGTGTTTTTTGGTCGAGTCTGATGGGGTGTCAAGCCATGGCCCCAAAGTCTATTTTTGGTATTCCCTGGGGACTTCTTTGCTCTGTTCCCCTTGCTGTTCTATTCCACGCTCTTAGTGTTTTGCCTCAGTGTGGTGGGATCAGATTGGTGCAATTTCCACACTATGTCTCCAATGTTGTCCCCTGTAGGGTTATGGGTCAGTGAGGGATGTTGTGTCTCATAGTGGGGCTGGCCATATGGTCTTCTCTGTGTATTGGCTGCTCTGAGCAGGAATATCGTCCTCAAGCCTTGGTGGGCCAGGATGTACTCCACTCTCTCTTCCTCCCCCTTGCAATGTACTCTTTGATGATGAATATGACACCAGTGTTTTTGAATTTGTCAATCTCAGCCTTATACTTCACTTGATTATCTAATTTAAAGTAGCTAGTAATTAAAGTCCAATAATACATACATTATCAATCTTTAAACATTTCATTTTGCTTTGATAACTTGCAGTTTTTCTTGATAATACTTCATATATTCTGTCTTCCAATTATTAGTGGATATTTGCAGCTATTTTTTCTCATATTCAGTCATGCCATGTCACCCAATGAAGGTCCCCAAAGCGTTACTCCATCCACGTCAGTACTGTTGACTCTACTCTGAGAAGGTAGTACTTCTTCAGTGTTATTTCAGTGCCAGTAAGCCGGAGGGACTCATGTTGTAGAAGTAGATCACCAGGTCCTCTTCCCAGTCTTTATTCTTGGAAATTCCATTATGACCTGTGCGCCATGGGCAATCCTGCTGGTATTTGAAGTACTGGGTGGCTTTGCTTCTGGAGTCACAGCAACATGCAAGCCAGCACAGGACAGCACTGGAAGATGAGTGGTGTGAGCTAGAATGTAGGCTTCATAATCATAAGGAATATACTTTCTTTCTTTCTTTTTAATCGTTTTATTAGGGGCTCATACGACTCTTATCACAATCCATACATACATCAGTTGTGTAAAGCACATTTCTACATTCATTGCCCTCGTCATTCTCAAAACATTTGCTCTCCTCTTAAGCCCCCGGCATCAGGTCCTCATTTTTTCCCCTCCCTCCCTGGTCCCCCCTCCCTCATGAACCCTTGATAATTTGTAAATTATTATTTTGTCATATCTTGCCCTGTCTGACGTCTGCCTTCACCCACTTTTCTGTTGTCCGTCCCCCAGGTAGGAGGTCACATATAGATCCTTGTAATCGGTTCCCTCTTTCCAACCCACTCTCCTTCTACCCTCCCAGTATCGCCACTCACACCACTGATCCTGAAGGAAAGGAATATACTTGTTTATACCATAATGCCTTTCCTATATACCTGTAAGATTGTTTTCTCCCAAGTAGAACATTCTGCATTTTTCACATTCCCAACTTTGTCGAGTTCAGCTGTCTTTCAGTTAAGATTGATGGGATTAATACATCTGACCTCTAGCAATTGAAAGTAGCCAGCCTTACCACTCCTGTGGTCTATGGGCCTCAGTGTCTTGCTTTTATTTACATTCGTTGTATATTTTCATGGCTCTATTTAAGCAACTACCAAATTTGTGTTCATTCATTCTTTTGACATCCAACCTGGTTTCTACAATAACTGCTTTTACTATTTGGATTGTTTACACAATTATATTTGTACCATTGGCAAGAAACATTAGGCATGGTATTTTATTTACATTCATAGAACAGGGTTGTCACGAAAGAACCACCTTGTATCAATGCATGTTTGAAGGGGCCCATTGTAAATCAAGATGATGACAAGATTTAACATTCTGTTCTTTTATAGAGAGCCAGAAAGGTGATGATCATTTGCTTGAGTACTGGCAACATGAAAGAAGTGTGGACAAAGCCGAACAATGCTATAACTTTAATACATTGAAAAACATTCTTCATCAGAACCAAAATAATTTTCCTCTAAAGGATGAGATACTTGGCTTGCATGAAAAAATTGTAAAATCAGATTTCATCATGCTGGCATTAAATCAGAACAGTAGCAGCAAAATACAGAAGTCAGTTGTGCTCAGTGGAGATGAGAAAACTTTTCTCGAAGTTGAACAAGAGCAATTTTGTACTGCAATGAAATTCACTGAGTATGAAAAATCCAGTAGCATGAAGGCACAATGCATTCAGCATCAGGAATCTGACAAAATTGAGAAACCACGCATGGGTGATAAATGTGGGAAACCCTTCTTGGAGGAGTCTTTGCTCTGTGAGCACCAGATCATTCATATTCTAGATAAGACCTGTGAATGCAGTCGGTGTGGGCAAGGATTCGACCGAGTATTCAAACTCACTGCACATTATCGATTAGCTCATAAAGGACAAAAACCACATACATGTTTGGAATCTGGCAAAGTTTTTCACAGTAAATCATACCTCAAGGAACATCAGAAAACTCAGGAGGCAGGGATGCCCTGTGTGTGTAGTGCACATGGGAAAGGCTTCACCAGGAACAGTGATCTCACTGTTCATCAGCGAACTTGTACTGGAGAGAAACCTGATGTGTGTGTTGAGCATGGTAAAGGCTTCATTCAGACAGAACATCTCAGCACTCATCTACACACTCATACTGGAGAAAAACCTTATGTGTGTGGTGAGTGTGGGAAAGCTTTCAGCCAGAAGCGATGTCTTACAGCACATCAGGTATTTCACACAGGAAAGAAACCCCATGTATGTGGAGAATGTGGAAAAGCCTTTAGCAGGAAAAATAACCTCACTGATCATCAGCGAACTCATACTGGAGAGAAACCCCATGTGTGTGGCGAATGTGGAAAAGCCTTTACCTGGAAGAATGTTCTCACTGATCATCAGCGAACTCATACTGGAGAGAAACGCCATATATGTGGTGAATGTGGAAAAGCCTTTATCAGGAAGAGGAACCTCTCTGTTCACCAGCGAACTCATACTGGAGAGAAACCCCATGTATGTGGTGAATGTGGAAAAGCCTTTACCAGGAAGAAGAACCTCACTGTTCATCAGCGAACTCACACTGGAGAAAAACCTTATATATGTGGTGAATGTGGTAAAGCTTTCAGCCAGCCGCAATGTCTTAAAGCACATCAGACATTTCACACAGGAGAGAAACCCCATGTATGTGGTGAATGTGGAAAAGCCTTTATCTGGAAGCATGGCCTCATTGTTCACCAACGAACTCATACTGGAGAGAAACCCTACGTATGTGGTGAATGTGGAAAAGCCTTTTTCAGGAAAAAGAACCTCACTATTCATCAGCGAATTCATACTAGAGAAAAACCTTATGTATGTGGTGAGTGTGGTAAAGCTTTCAGCCAGAAGCAATGCCTTGTAATACACCAGACATTTCACACAGGTAAGAAGACCCATGTATGTGGTGAATGTGGAAAAGCCTTTATCTGGAAGAAGAAGCTCACTGCTCATCAGCGAACTCATACTGGAGAGAAACCCCATGTATGTAGTGAATGTGGAAAAGCCTTTATCTGGAAGAGTAAGCTCACTGTTCATCAGCGAACTCACACTGGAGAAAAACCTTATGTATGTGGTGAGTGTGGTAAAGGTTTCAGCCAGAAGCGATGCCTTACAGCACATCACAGATTTCACACAGGAAATAAGCCCTTTGCTTGAATTAAATGTGGAAAATCTTATGTGGAAGTCAAGTATCATTTAACATGAGAAATTCTTAACAAGAAAGCCTTTCAATGGGGTGAGTTTAAGAAGGATTTCAAACAAAGGAAGAGATATTAGGGTTTGTTCAGAGCTGAGTGCGGGATGAGACGATTATGGCTTCCCATGTAGCTACCCGTACTCTGAATTGCTGTCACTGTACTGACATGGCCCACTAGTGTGGGGAGAGGTACTTCCAGACTTCTGAATGGCACATGGGCACCTTCTCTTAAAGCTTTTAGTGCCCGAAAGAGGACTGGACCTGTTGTTTCTGGATCACACCCATGCCAAGCAATAGAGTCTATCCAGATGCCAGTAGTGCCCGCCCCACATGCATGCACTTTGTTAGCCCCCCGTAGACAGCACAAAAACACCATAAAACGAGAGTGAAGAAAATACAAGATTTATGGGAACAAGTAGTCCAGAGGACAAATGGACCACAGCGAAACTCAGCTTCCTTGACCCTGAGCCCAGAAGAACGAGATGGTGCCAAGCTTCCATTGCTAATTACTCTGAAAGGGATCACAGAAGAGGGTCCTGAGTAGAGTGGGAGAACAAAGTGGAACAAAACCCCAAATCATAAAAGAGACCAGGTTTACTGATCTCATGGAGACTTAGAATCCCCAGACTATGCCCTTTAGCGACTCTTCACTCCTGGAAATGTACTCACTCCTCTGACTCAGCGGTCAGCCCAACAATATGCAGGCTTGGAGGGGAAGACTAACATCTGGGAGGTATACACTCCTTAGAACAACCTACCGGACAAAATCAAAAGGATAGCATTTGCCGATGGATTAAAAACACTTGAAAGCAGGAAGGGATGGGAAACAGGGATAAATAATGATAAAACACACGGAGACTGGAAGTGGAAGTGGTTGGTATATCTTGGGGACTACAATCTGTGTATGAATTCTTAAATGGAAATACAATTTAGTCTGTAGATTTTAAATCATAAAACTTTTTAAAAAATGAATTCATGTCTCATCAATTTCATGTAGGAACATTACCATATAGCTATAATGAGTGTGGGAAAACGTATACCGGTGTTTCTAAGTTTTCTTGACTTAAACACGCAAAAATGAAAAAGGTTTAAATTCAGTCAAAGTGGGAAAGCTCTCCACAGGGAGTCAGGTAGAAGGAAAGCCCTAGCAATGTAGTGACTTTGCAAATGCCTTCTGTGGCTTCTCTGGTGTCAGTAAACACCAGTGGGATCCTAACTAATGAAGTTCTGGTGGGACGACCTGTAGCCAGAAGGGAATCAAGTGACAATAGAGGATTTGTACAGCTGAGAAACCATATGAATACAGTGAATGTGGCAGTGTGAGTTCATTTAGTGACACTGGCACTGACTCTAGTATCCAATTACGCTTTATTTTGTGTTCCTCAAAGTTGGACAGGAGGGCTGAACAAAATAATATGCCTCATTGTATGACTACAATGTGTATCCTTGGGAAGTCATATGAATACAGACTGGGAAAGCCCGATAGATTCATCCTTTGTATATATACATTGATATCAAGACCAAACAGATTTTACATTTGCTGTCCTCTTTGACCCATGTGATCATAGTTTCAGTCGTTAAAAAGTGAAGGGGAAATACTCTACCATAGACCAGGAATGTGAAGGGCCTTGCTATCAAGCAGAATGCATTCAAAAGTGGATTATTGCAGATGCAGATAGGTTAAAATAGAACCCTTTACCCTTTGACCTCCATTTTGTTCCATTTTAAATCTATTGTATTTTTTAATATTCCTCTTTTTGATTAAGCTTTATCTGTTTTACTTTGTTATTGTTGAATTTTTAAATATATTTCTCTGAATATGAAATGCATGATGCCTAATAGTGGTATTTCTGGATCATCTGGGATTTCAATTTATGGTTGCTTTAAATATCGCCATATCATTTTCCACTGTGGCTGTATGTATTTAAAAGTCCACAGCAGTATATAAGATTCCCAATCCCTCCATAACCTCTCCAGCATTTGTTGCTTTCTGTTTTGTGAGTGTAAAGTGGAATCTCATGGTTTTAATTTGCATCTCCCTGAAGGCTAGTGATTGTGAGTATTTTTTCATATGTTTGTTAATCATTTGTACTTCATTTTTTGGTAAACTGTTCATATCTTTTCCCCATTTCCTTATTGGGTCTCTTGTTATTTTCTTTTTGAAATGTTGTAGAGTTCTGTATATTTTTGTAATTAGCCCTTTGTCCGATGTGTAATTGGTAAAAATTGTATCCCAATCTGTGGGCTCTCATTTCACTTTCCTGGTGCAGTCTTTTGCTATGCAAAGGCAATGTAATTTCAGCAAGTCCAAATCACCTATCTAGTCTTTGCTGAAAGTGCCTCCTCCGTGATCCTTGATAGTCTATGTATGCCCTGCAATAGGGTTGCTCTGTGGTGTCCAGTGTCACTATGGGTCCTAACCAACAAACAGATCTATCTTGGAAGAAATACAACCAGAATGCCCCTTTGAGGAAAGTGTGGCAACACTTTTCTTACGTATCTGTGATATATTGTGTTGCACGTCACGAGAAGTTAATAACCACTATAATGCCATTTATGTCCAAATTGGGAGTCTTTATTCTAGCTGGCAGCCATTGGGTGGATTTAAGTCTAAGAAATTCCCAGAGGCCTAAAACGATATTCAGGCAGGATTTGTAAGGACAAAAACAGAAGCCAGCAGTTTGGCAATAGGGAGGGCATTACACAACTTTTAGTGGGTAAGCAGGGTGGGGGTTAGGGCTCTGCATTCCTTTTAGCAAGTGGTTTAGGAGGCTGAGATAAGCCTTACTTACTTTGGGAGGCAGGGAGGGAAAGGCACATTCACAGAACAGGAGGATGTTGGCATTTGGGTAATTACAGGGCAAAGCTGGGGTGGAGGAGAAGGAGGTTACATACTTTCGGGGTGATAGGGGCCTAGGCAGCATTTTTAAGTTCTAAAATGGGGTCACACAAGTCAAGCTTGGGAGAGGTTCGGACATTCCCCACCTGTTTTATGTACACATGAAATCATTGATTTTATGAGGTAATTGTTAAACCCTGTTGGGTTTTCCAAAGGGTGTATTGAGTATGTAAGACCATTAATACAATTGAGGGTATATGAACTTAACTAATAAAAGTAGTTACAAAATTCAAGGACCTTTTAAGCTCGTTATTAGGGGAGTAACCTATGGTGAGAAAGAAAACAACATGTGATACCATCCGTGTCCTGCCTTTAATTCTTGCTGATGTTTTTCTACATTTTTCCAGACTAAGGCTAGGCTTTTCTTTATGATACCTGTCTTGCTTGCATAAAAACAGCATTTTTCTTCTACAGCTGCATATATTCCTCCTTGTTTAAGGAATAGGATGTTTAACTCCCTACGGTTTTGGAGAGCCACCGTTGGCAAAGACTACTTGGTCTGAAAGCTGGCTTATGGGATTTTTGAAGAGACTGATATCTACACTTATACTTTGTGATAGTTCTCTGAAATTTAGGTCATTTTTAATAAAGGCTCCTATTTCATTAGCAGCTGAGGTAGCTACTCCAAACCCTACTAGGAGTGGGATTACTAAAAGAACTCATTTCTACCTTTTTAAAGAGAAATCAGGGGGGCTGGGAGATTCAAACTTTGTTTTCCCTCGTACACCGAAATTCAGGGTAAGATATAAACTAGGATAAAGAACTCAGGCAGTCTGGACATGTCAAACTGTTAAGAGGAGATACGAGTGACTAATCCAAGAGAGCAGGCAAACCAGATGTAGTCGTGCATGTGTTAAAACAGGGCTGTACCATTGTTAAGTGACTATTTTGGTGAAAATATAATAAGCTGAGTAGGAGAATTTGATGTCTGGTCCTGAGGGGACATGAAACACTGTTCTGATCCCTGCAGATCTCCAAGGGTCAAGGGGGCTTCAGAGGCGGCACAAGCAATGGTTTTTACCTGGGACACTAAGGGGGAGGTTAGTTCAAAGTAGAAAGGGGCCTAGGACCTTGTGGCAATTACAGAAAAATAGAAAGTAAACATTAGGAAACATATGACTTAGCTTTAAGGGATCTTCAGGCAGGAGTGATAAATCCATGGGGAGAGGCTGTTGATCTTAATATCCATGAGGGGAGTGAGGACAGTGTAAGTTCCCTTCCAGTGAGAAGTGAGTCCTACAGAGGCCAACCACTTTCCCTGGAAGGTGACTCGGGTTGGCAAGGGTGTGCTAGTGGATTGGTGACACCTGTGGGGACAGGAGAATAGGATTGCACAGCGGCCTGTGCAGCTGCTGCTGAGCCACTTGCAGGGCCTGTGAAGAGCGAAGCAGATTGTGATTACGTATTCCTGCACATCGAGTTTCCTCAAGTTTGGGGAGCAATGGGGGGGGGGTCCAAGCATTATTTTGTAGGGGGGAAATCCCTGCTTATAGGGAGAACTATGTGCCCATATGAGGGGAAAAGGGAAAGTTTGCTCCAATTTCCACGGTGTTCCAGAGTGAACTTAGTAAGGAGCTCTTTTAAGGTCCTATTTCTTCTCAACTTGCCCTGAGCACTGGGGCCTATAGGCGCAGCGCAGGTTCCAAACAATTCTGAGTGCCTGCGATACAAGTTGAGATATCTGGACTGTAAATGCTGGCCTGTTGTCTGCATCCAGACACCAGGGCATCCTGCTGGCTGAGATTTTGCATTTACTTGAGCACAAGCTGGGCACCTGGAAGTTATTGAAGCAATTTGGTTGATGTATGTGCTATAGTACCTTTCCCTGAACAGCTACAACTGTCTTAGTCTGACCTTCCTGAGTGACTGGTGCAAGTCTCTTACTAAGGAGCAGCCTAACACCTCTTGGACCAAGATCTATCCATCAGGGAGCATGCACCACCGGGTGGGTTCCTTCTGGGGTGTGAAATGGTGTGGCCATAGGGGCCCTGCTAGTTTTGGCGCTGTGCAGCTTGCCAGACCTCTTTGTTGGCAGCTCAGTTTCCCTTGGCTCTGGGGGAATCGCCTGTTTGGGGTCCTTTGCAATGCACTAAGGCCAATGCTTTTGGTAACCCTATGGCTCTTAGGAGGCTACATTTTTAAAAATTTGTAAAGTCCTTTCCTTTAACCAATTCTAGCAACTTCATTAGGGCAACCAACTCGGCTTTTTGAGTGGAGCTCCTGAGAGAGCGAGCCTGAGACTAAATGACGGACTTGTAAGGCCTGCCGCTCCCACATACCTGGTTCCATTGAGGACAGACTGCTGCCGTCACTGTACAATACTTTAGTGGGCGTCTTCAAGGGGACTTCAGTGAGGTCCAGCCGGGCTCACTGAACAGAGTCTACCAATTTCAAGCCGGGCCATGCAGAGGTTTTTCTAGGTCTGCCTCTGCAGAGGTACGGCCGATGCAATCAGTTGTACCAAATGGACGGTGGTGCTTGGCTAATCCGGGTAGATTTGGTTTTGCCTAAACCTTTGGGTAGGCTTCCTGCGGATGGTACAAGTATGCCATCTCTTCGCTGGCAGAAGCTGTCTGGCTGCTGCAAGTTTTCCTGTAATAGATATTCTTCTAATGGGGGGCAGGCTAGTAAGGTTTGTGTGGGGAGCCTGCAGGTATAGACAGTTCAACGTGTGGCCCTTCAAGGGCTATTGTAGCTTGGGATTTTTGGATGCAGCCTCGCCCTACGAGGGGTAGGGACACTTAGGGAGCATGATAAAGGAGTGAGTGACCGTGTTGTTCCCCAGGTTGACTGACCTCTTTGTAGTCCAGGTGAAGGTAGATGTTTTTCCTGTAGCTCCTTGGATGGCAATCTTGCCGTTGAACATTGGTCCTCATGATTTTGCTAAAATTGAATGTGTAGATCCTGTGTCGCTGAAAAACTGACAGATTTGCCCCCTACTTGTCAGGTGACCTTGGGCTCCTTAGAGCTAAGTTTATAAGAGCCTGGCCTAGTCAATCTTCTATGCTAAGTACACGCCATGGTGGATGAGGGGTGGGGTGGGGAAGGACCTTCTTTGTTTTCTCAGGGCATT